ATTCTCTATCTTATTGATTTCAGCCTTAAATTGATCATTTCTTGCCATCAATTCCTTTTGAGTGTGATTACTTATTTGTATTCTTGTGCTTTCAGGTGTGCTGTTAAGTCTAGTATGAGATCTCTCCAGATTTTTATGTAAGCACTTACTGCTATAAACTTGCCTATAGGAATCACTTTCATTGTACCCAATAAGTTTGGGTATGCTATATATTCATTTTCAGTGAATTCTAGAAAGTCTTTAATTTCTTATTTCTGTCTTGATCCACTTTTCATTCGGTAGAAAATTGTTCAGTTTCCATGAGTTTGTAAGTTTTCTGTTGTTGATATTTATCTTTAATCCATGGTGGTCAGTTAGAATGCAGAAAGTTATTTCAATTTTCTTATACCTGTTAGGACTTGCTTTGTGTTTGAGTATGTGGTCAATTTTGGAGAAAGTTCCATAAGATACAAAGAAGAATGTATATTCTTTTGTGTTTAGGTGAAATGTTCTGTAAATATCAGTTAGGTCCATATGGTTTATGACATCTATTAGTTCCAGCATTTCTTTTTGTGTTTGGTAAATTTGGTGGTTTGAAAGAAAATGGCCCCCTAAGGGAGTGGCACTATTAGTAAGTATGTCTTTGTTGGAGCAGGTGTGGCCTTGTTGGATGAACTATGTCACTGTGGGGGTGGGCTTTGAGGTCTCCTATGCTCAAGCTATATAGTGTGGCACTCAGTTCACTTCCTGTTTCCTGCAGATCAAGATGCAGAACTCTCAGGTCCTTCTCCAACACCGTGTCTGACTTCCTGCTGTAATGCTCCCAACCATGATGATAATGTACTAAACCTCTGAAACTGTATGTCACTTATCGGTCTGACTGACAGGTAGGGTAGAGGCAGAACCAGTCCAGTTGGTCTCTCCCTGGGGCTATAAGTGGGATAGTGATTGTCAAATGGCCCAGACCTTCCCATTCCACCAGAGAGAAGCACACTGAGCTGTGAGTCTTGTCAAAGCAGGAACTCACTTTATTGCATCAGGAGTGGACTTATATAGGTTGGGTTGATGGGGAGATGGGGTGAGGGTGGTGTACCAATGAGATGATGCCATCTCAGCAGTTGCTAGCAGAGGCAATTCTAGGTCAGGCAGTGCTGAATCACTCATATGTGGAAGTCATGTCTGAGGATAGGTCACCAAACTCGAGCTAGGCTTGGGAAGTTACACTGGGCCTCACGCCCGGCTCTTATGGGGCCCAACTGTTACCCTCAATTAAATCTTTTCCTTTATAAGAGTTGCCATGGTAATGGTGTCTCTTACAACAATAGAAACCCTAACTAAGACAGAAGTTGGTACCAGGGACTGGGATATTGCTGTGACCATGTTTTTGTTTGGAGGAATGAGTCCGTTGGGTGTTTGGATTAGAATAGCAGTTGAATTCATTAAGTGGAGCTTAATGGGCCATCTTAGTAGGAACATGAAAGATAGCAGTGTTGAGGATGATTTGAACTATGGGGGCCTGGCTCAAGAGGTTCAGAGAAGAACCATAGGCCATGTTAGTGTCAGTGGTCCATGTTGATGTCAGTGGCCCATGTTACCACTGAAGACCATGGGGATGTCCATGGTCTGTGCTGCCACCTGAATCCACTTTGATGACTATGACCCATACTATAGCCAGAAATGGACTTCCACATAATCTGTGCTGCCACTTACTATAAAAGGCAAGGAAGCTTCTTTTGTAGTGATAGCAATGACTGAAGACTCACAGTTGAGAATGAGAGACCTAGAAGGCTTCTGTGACAACCTCTCTCCCAAACCCCTATCCCCCAAAAAGAAACAGTCTAGATTGGAAGCCCTTGAAGAGAACTCTTAAAAATTGTGATAGGGATCCTGAAGTATAGCTCTTTACAGTGGATGGCTTCTGGTGTGGGTGTGGAGGGAGAAGGACTTGGTTTTCTTTAATGGGCTGGCCACTGGGAGTTTGACCATGCTCCAGTGAGTATAGAGTATATGGGCAACACAAATTGAACATGGTTGTTCTTTTCTATCTTTTTTCTTTTTTTGCCAGCCATTTCTCTCCTTTATTTACAGTTTGTGTTCAATGCAAATAAATTCCATAACATGAGAAATTACTATGAATCAAAACATAAATACACAAACACAATATACAGTCAAATAGATGTACAGCATTCAGGTACAAGGCAAGAGTGTTCATTCACATGCACAGTAGCTTTGGGTCTGTGAGGTCTCCTTGTTCCCAGGTAGGTTTCTAAAGGTGGAGAAAATGACTCTGTTACATCTATACTGGTTATCAAGACTATTGTGGCCATGTGAGATCCCAGAATGTGTAAGCATCAGTGTGTGACCATGTGAACAAAAGATTTTTTTCAAGGAATGTCTATGTTTTAAAAGGCATGTGTGTATCAAGGCATTGGAAAAATTTACTGCAGAACCAAGCCCCCTTTCAGGCACAGGACCAATGTCAAACTATCTAAAATATGAACTGATAACCAAAGTATTCCAAATGTGGCTATTCTGATCCAATGTTTTGTTTTTCTCCTTTAAAAAAAGTATTTACAGAAATTGTATAAAAGTCTTTGTGAATTCGATGCAAGTCGTCTTCCGTCTTCATATTCCAACTGCTAGGTTTATGGTTTTGGCTCCTTTGCATATTTGCCTTTAGAATGTCAAGGTTCATAATTTCACCTTCCTAACAGACTACACCTTAAATTATGAAAACCCCTCAACATATGCAGAAATAAAAAGCAGCATTTGACATTGGTGGAGGTCAACGTAATTCTGCTCTCTGGAACCAGTTTACTTAAGGGGATCTGGCAATCTGGTTGAGTGAAAAAAGATGATGGAAAACACCTACTATTTGACTTTTGAAGTACGATTTATTCAGTGATGGCTGGATTTGGGGGTGGGTTCCAATCCATCCTTGCCTGGCACATGTCAATTACTAATAAAAGTCAAATATAATGTCAAGCCTAAAGCCACAGGAGGGGGTATAATGCTCAGTTCCAAAGATAACAGCTTGACAATGTGGAACTTAACTAGAGTTTAGCATATTAAATTAGTAGTAATGAAACAATACACTGAGGATTTAAAGTTCCTTCCAACATATACATAAATAGCTTCAGAGAAGACTTTTAATATCACCTAACTGTGTTATGGCCTTATAGGTTGAATGAGCCAATGAAAACAATCTCTACCCTACATCCCCTCCTTATCTCTACATAAAACCTATGCTTGATTTCAAGTTACAGTTTTAAGTGTCCACATTTCTTTTTTTTAATTTTTCTTCTCCTTTTTATTTGTAAGTTTTTTTAATTTTTAATTTTGTTGTATAT